AAGGAGACCTACTTTACCACTCCGCTTGCATTGTCCATTCTTGAGCGCCCTCGTAAATGGTACAAGGGGGGTGGGAAGGATGGTAAAGGAGGCAAGGGGGGAAAAGGCGGTCGAGGAAAAGGCAAGGATGGCAAAGGCAAGGACGGCAAGGGGAAGTCTGATCCAGCTTTCAAGGGCCTTCAGTTGGTTTGGCGCACGCCCGAGGGGCGGGACATCTGTTTCGCCTTTAACAATCAGGGATGTGATGGAAAGTGCGGGCGGCTCCATGTGTGCAGAGTGAAAGGCTGCTATCAGGACCATGCGGCCAAGGATCACAAGCAGAAGGTCGGCGGGGCTTGACTATCTCGCCCCATTGTCGAAACCGATGATACAGCCGATCATGTGGGTTACCAAAACCCACTTTATGCTCCTTCAGGGGTAAGAATAATCTACATTTTCGCGGGAGCCGAGCGCAAATGTGACATCGGCCAATATCTTCATCAGCTGGGAGTCGTGGACAGCCTTTTGCAGTTTGACTTGCAGCGTTCTCACACGCATGATTTGACACAGGAAGGCCTTTGGCAGCACATATTCCACCTTTTGAGCCAGGAGGAGTGGATTCTTCTGGCATCCCCGCCATGCGAGACTTTCTCCAGGGTTCGTCATCGTCATCCGGGACCCAAGCCTTTGCGTTCTTCATTTTACCCACGGGGTTTTCCTTGGCTAAGCCAGCAGCTTTCACTTCAGGTCGAGCAAGCGAATTACTTTGTGGACCAAACGGTCACTGCATGCCAGCTCGCATGGCAATATTTCTTGGAGCACCCCGAGGACTTGGGGATCACACCGGACCAAGAAATTCCTGCATCCATTTGGCAATGGCCCAGCGTTCGTGAGCTTCAGGTGTCCACGCGAGCAATCACCTTTGCGATTTTCCAATGCAGCTTCGAAGCCTCCACTTCAAAGCCCACGCGCTTCCTTACAAACTTGCAGGCGCTTGTTCATCAGCCACCGCATTTTGCGACGTGGCCCAGCTTTGACACAGAGCATCGATACGTGGGACCACTCCCACCCCGCTGCCCCCATGGCAGGCATGAGCCTCTTTCAGGTCGCACCGGCCGTGTTTGGGCCACGTCATCATCGGCGGCTTATCCCCCTTTGCTTTGCGAGTGGATTGCTCATGCTGTGCTTGCTTCCGCTCCGCAAGGGGTCAAAGAGTCAGCCCCACACAGCAGTGAGCCCTCGGGCGAGCCAGGTGCAGGCCCAGGCGATGTCACAGGCGAGGTCGCACAATCCGCTTCGGATCCACCGTCACAGGCATCGCCCGGCCAGGCACCGGAAAGTCATTCATCATCAAGCTTAGGCCCCATGGCTGAGTTGCCACCCGCTAAGGCGCCGCTTGAACAACTTTCGGGATCATCTTCGGGTTCTTCGGTTCTAGTTAATCCTTTGCGGGAGCCACCACTTGAACATTCCGATGGCACCTTGATCGACCCCATTGTTGAGCCTTCCCCTAAACCCCTTAAGCCTCAGAGAGGGGTTAGCCCGGAGGACTTTGCAGAGAGGATTTCAGCGGCTCGCATTCCCACCAGGGAGGAATTGTGTGCGTTGTTCGGATTGCTTCCCCATGAAACACCGCCCAGGGCACCGGAGGCCGGCAATAAGGTTGCCAGTAGCTTCACGACGGGTATGTATCATCAGGGCAAACTCTTAGGTCTTCGAACCAACCTCCGTAAGTTCCCATTGTCCACTCAGGCCATCACTTCCTATGTGCGTGCAAAGATGCCGGGTCACCGCTTCAACACGGTAAGCATCTACTGTAACACGGGCACTGATCCCCATAAGGATAATCGCAACGCTCCCATTCCAAATGGGATAGCGGCGCTTAGTGACTTCAGGGGAGGGGAGGTTTGGATCGAATCCGATAGTGGTGAATCCATCCAGGTTATCGGGGGGAAGCAGATGCATGGCACCATAGTGCCCATCACTGCTGAACCAGTGTTCATCGAAGCCCACAGCCACATCCACTTCACCATGCCATGGAGAGGCAGGCGCATAGTCTTGATTGCATTCAGTGTATCGGGCATTGAAGAACTTAATCCTCAAGATTACGATTCCTTGATCAACCACGGTTTCTCTGTTGAGGCACCGCCTGCAGCTGTAGAGCCGATGTGTTTGGACCCGGTGCTTGAAGATGAGGAGCCTGCTATGCCGGCAGGGGACTCGTCCACTCCTTTCGATCCCGATGCATGTTTCAACGAGGGCCAGCCTCTCAAGCTGGAGTGGGATGGCACACATGAAAACATCGACGACGGTTTCGGGCTGTGCTCGCCTACTAGGTGGGTACCTGAGGCTAGGGGTAAGCGTCTTAGTGATAGGGCTTTGGGCTTTTCCAGTGCAATGCATCAGATCTTGAAGGACTTTGTGGTGCGGACGGTACCCGACACGACTCGCACCGCTATGGAACTTGCGCTCGGTAGGCTTAAGGAATCCCCCTTCTCGGAACCCGAGTTAGGTAAGCTTAGAGCCGAATGGATCAGTTGCATCGAAACCTTCTCGGAGGAGACATGTCATCAAGCTCTCGATGTTCCGGAGAGTCAGCCCTTCCTCCTTTTCGCGCTTTCGGCTACGGCACAGCTTTTGGAGGATCCTGATTGGCAAGCAATCGCTTGCCAGAGGGACTCGTACGTGACTGGGGTTTCAATCGGGTTTGATGAGCCCGCTGAGCACAT